CTCCTCTCTCCCTGATAGACTTGAGAGTCGATTATTCTAAGGGGTGGTGATGGATTGAAAGTTGATTGAGAGATGGTGATGGGGTGGAAATCTATGGTGTTATTTCATGCTGTGGAAGAAATTGGGGGGAGGAGGAGAAATGTATTTGGAAGGTTTTCATTCTTAGTGCTGTGTCTATTCCTTTTTAGACATTGTAATTAATAAAGTTTCTTTCCTTTACTCCTAAGTTGGAGCCTGCTTTGCTCTGTTCCTGATCACATCTCACAGAGGCCACTAGGGAAAGTATATTTTCATGGGGGTGCTGACATTGTGCCAACCTCAATCCATGACAGGGTGGCAATTGACAATTATGTCCTCATAGGAAGCAGGTATTCATCTCCACACAGCAATAACAAAAACATGCCAACTGGAAAAAAATCATCCCGAAGTATAAGTAATAAAAGGTTATGAAGCTATTTTCTCGCAACAGCCATTGCTAAAATACTTAATGCATGCTTATTTCACTTTCTGCGACTGCTACTCAAACTTTAAAAATTCACATTTGCACCTAAATACCATAACAGTGTGCTATAAAGCAAATGCATATATTTATTGTGCTGAAGAAAGCCCAAATTGCTTTTTCAGACTCAGCCTTTATATGACCTAACAGAATTATTAACAAATATGTGACACTTATATAAGAACACTATATTTTTCCTCAAAATATGAAGAAAAATATGTCATCATAAGTCATCATTGAATTATCAACGCTATCAAGAGCCCTCACAGCACTCAAATTCACTGCCATTATTTTAGTTATAGGCAAAGGGAGTATTTATATTAAAGGAGTAATGTTACTCCTTTTCCTGCCCCCACCCTTGAAATACATATACAGCAGCACAGCATATATAATAGCAGAACTGAGAAAATACCAATTGTTGTTAATCTAACTTTACAACACAAACTTGTCCTGCAAATATAGAGGACTGTTACCAGTGGTTATTTTTGATGGCCTATGTGACACCTAGCAATGTCCAGAGATTATAAATAACACAGTTTAAGGTCACAATTTCTTCTGAAAATATTACCCAGAAATTCTCTTATAACAATGGAGCTTTCCATATTTATAGTCAAGATTTATGGCAAGAAGTCAATTCATGGCTCTTGTACAAATAAAAGGCTTTTTCCCTAACAGAACACCATCTATCTAGAAAACAATAAAATCTGACCCAGAGAAGTTCACAATTTCAAAATGTTAAATTACTATCAGTGCCACACCACAAAATCAAATTGTTCTCCTACATTACTTCAGTTGTAGGGCCTGCTCATTTTGTTTTTCAAGCTAATAGCAATTTGGAAATTATATTAAACCTGTTCTCCTATTTAAATGTTTGGGTGTGGAGCTTTAACTTCTGAAAGCAAGCAGAATACTTAAGTTAGCTATGAAAGCCTTAAGAAATCATTAATTCATAGTTTATCACCACTAATCTTTTGGTTTTGGCAGACAGAATGTGTTTTAAATTCTCTCCTCAAGAACAAAACAGTATGATGCACAGACCTCATTTGCATCAGATGCTGCATGCATCTCAAACACCAATCATAAGCAGGGTCATTTTAATTTTTTTTTTTTAAACTGGCACTTACACACACAACACCTTCAAAATGTAAAACTGTATTACATTACTTCATTCAAATTCTCCCCCATAAGCTATTGCAAATGCTAATAATTTTCACCACCACCACAGGCAATAGGAAGCCTCAAACACATAACACTTAGAAACATCCTGTTCCTTCAGAACACTCAAGTGACATTCACATTATCCAAAATGAAAACCTATCTACCTTACTCCCACGTCTTGACTGACTGAGCACTTGTTAGCAAGTTGTCAATCGGTTGTCTTGACATTTCTAAAAAAATCAGAACCTGAAGTCAGTTCCCCTGAGGAATCACCAGATGATGCTAAAGAGAACCCATTTTTCCATGCTTTTCTACTGAATTCAGATCTAAATCACATTAATTAAGGAACTTAGAACAAAAATCTAGAGTTCAGAAAATTGAAGAAGTCAATTAAATATACGTGGCCCCAACCAACTGTTGGGTAATATCTGTTAAGGGTAATATCGCTTCCCATGAGGCATCCTGAGTTACAGTGTTACCCACTTCAAGTCATGCCACAGAACGTCATGATTAATGAAAATTAGCTGTAAATGAATGAAATTTAGCTATAATCCTGAAGAACAGCATGGAGGAGATACAGTGCAAAAGTACACCAAATGTACAATTTAGTCTTGCATTGTCACCACCACCAAAAAAAAAAAAAAAAAAAAAAAAAAAAAAAAAAAAATTCCTTTTTTCTTAAACAGTAGCCCTGTGGTCTTTACATCCTCCTTGGTTTCTCTGCCCCTACATTTCTTTCAGTGTCTGTGCTCATTGTTCCCATGCTCCTCACAAGGAGATGTAATTCATCCACAGCTCTTCAGGAAGCTGATATTTTAATACTCTACATGGTAATGAGGAGCTGGACAAATATTTTGCATCACATTTACTATGAAAGAAAACAGAGATACCCATTCTAGAAACCATTTTTGTATGTGACTCATCAGAGAATCTGTTCAAAATTTAAGGATCTGAAGTAGATATTGTGAAACACACTAATAAAATAACCACAACAACAGCAGTACTCTACAGGCATTTTGAAAGAACTCAACATTAAAAAGCACAGTAAGGGCTGACAGTGGGTTAACTCACTCAGCCAATTCCTTGGCATGTACAGACTAGGAATGCTGAGCAGTAAGCAACTACTACAAAAAAAAAATTCAACAGAGAAGACTGCTAATGTGAGCAGAAACTATAAATAAAAATATGGTTAGTAGAACCTTACAAAAATACATGGTTTATATGAAAAGAATTGGCATGGCTTTAGAAAAAGGAAACCTAACTTTTCAGAACCATTTAAGATCTCTCAAAGAGTCAATAAATACAGGGGTGAGAGTGCTGTAGTTGACAAAAATCAGCTTTGGCTTTCCAAAAGAACTCCCAAAAGGTTACTAGGAAACTAAACAGCTATAGGATGAGGAAGGATCCTTATAAATATAAACAGAAATGCACCACCCAAGGTGTAAATCTCCAGCTGGCTTGCTCATACCTGGAATACTATGTGCAAGGGAGAAAGGTGGAAGCCACAGTCAAAATAAATTAAAAGCTAATTCCTCCCCACTGTGGTTTGTAGGCCTGTGGTGTGTCCTTGCTAGCCAGATGTTGCTGATACATGGAATTTACATGGGTTCAAGTGGGATTGGGGAAATTCACATAAAAAAAAAACCCCTACATTTACTGGGGGATATTAGATACAGAACCACATCCAGCTCAAGAAGTTCTTTGAGCTAAAAGTCACTGGAGAAAAAGAGGGCAGCAAAAGGCTAGTGTCACGCATCTGCTTGGTTTTCATCTCTGAGCATCAACTATAGCTTATGACTACTTTTTCTAACAGTGAACACTTACAAATACTATGACTTGCATGATACATATTATTTATTATAACTTACATACAGGAAACTCACCAGGAATAAGCTTCTGAACTCTTGACACTTGAAAGAGACTGCAACTACCATGTTAGCAAAACTACATGCCTTTCTACTCATTTCACCAATGACCACGAACAGATGAACAAGTATAGGTGCTAAGAAGCCTTTTTTCTCTGGAAGTTATGCACAAGCATTTAAGTTCAGGAACTTGCACTCACTTTACTAAAAGTACATACATATATACATAAACATAATATCAGGTTTTGAGGTATTTCTGTAAGACCATAAGTCAGCCTGCTTCAAAAAGACACCTGAATTCACAAGCTGTATTAACCAGTGTTGAATGGATTTCACAATATTTTCTTTTTTTTTACAATAGCTGTAAAGCTATTAGGTAAGGCTAGTTTCTCATTTTCTTTTCACAGAGCACCAAAGACTGCCCAGACGTACTGAGCCTCATGTCCTCGCTGCGTGGCACTGAGGGGACACATTGCTTCCCCTCTGCTTTTCAAAGGGGAGCATACAGAGAAAAGCTGTAGCACCCTCTCTGTGTTGAGCTTCTAGGAATTCCCCACCACATTTACCAATTTCTTGGACAACAGAGTTAATTCATGTCATGTTATTGCTACACAAGAAGTGTGTGCGTGCCTTTAGGAAATGATGGCCTCGGGACAAGAGGAAACAACCAGCACTGAAACTGATGCACACCAAGTTCCACCTGAGCACGAGGAAGAACATCTCTACTGTGTCTGGAACAGATTGTCCAGAGAGGCTATGGAGTCTCCGTTACTGGGGATACCCAAGAACCATCCGGATGCAATCCTTTGCCGCGTGCTTTAGGATGGTCCTGCTTGAGCAGGGAGGCTGGACCTGACGACCCCGCGCGGTCCCTCCCAGCCCAACCCGTGCCGGGACTGTGCGATGCCATAGGCGCTGGAGGGCGCACAGGGCGAGCGAGACCCCGCTCACACCGACCCGCTCTGTTCGGGTGTCCCTGAGGGAGACTCAGTCCCTGCCGAGCCACCGACCCGCCCGGGGCCCCAGCGCCGCCTCACGGCGAGCGGGGCGGGACCCACCGGCCCCGCGGCACCTCCGCGGCCCCACGCCCGCGTCACCTGCAGCGCCCGCACACGGGCCGCCTCTCGCAGCGCTCCACCGGCAGCTCCCACAGCCCCTCGCAGCCCTCGCCCTCCCCGCCCGCGGCCGTGGCCGGGCCCGGATCCGCCCCGCCGCCGCCGCCGCCGCCGCCGCCGCTCCCCTCCATGCTGGCGTGGCGAGACGGCGAGACCGCGAGGCCGCCAACCGCCAGAGGGCGCCATCGAGCAGGAGAGCGCGCGGCCCCAGCTCACGTGAGGAGGCGGCACCGCCCCTTTCCGGGGCACGCCCAATAGGAGGGCGGGAAGCTCCGGCGGAGCCCCGCCCATCGGGGCGGTGCCAATGAGAGCTGCTCGCGCTCCGCAGCGGGGCGCTGTCGGCGCGCGGCTGTCGCGCGGAGCCGCTGGGGCTTCCCGGGCACTGCTGGGAGCGGGCGAGCCCCGGCCCGCCGGGAACGGGGAACGGGGAACGGGGAACGGGCAGCCCCGGCCCGCCCCCACCACTGCCCTCACCGCACGGGTACCAGCACCCGGTGAGCACCGGCCCGCCGGGAACGGGGAACGGGCAGCCCCGGCCCGCCCCCACTACTGCCCTCACCACGCGGGTACCGGCACCCGAGAGACACCGGCAAACAGCCCCGGCCTGGAGCTGACAGCGCCCCGCTCCGCGTAGATAACAGCTCCTGGTGCTACTAGTGACTCTCGGGTGGGAGATTGAATTTTTGATACTGTTTTTTTTTTTTTGAATCACAGACTTCTGGTTGTTAAATAATTATCTGACCGCTTGAATTGATATTTTATTCCAAGTGCTGCAGAGTAAGAGTTCAGGACTTCCCGTGCCCTAGATGCCTCATACCCTGTCCTGGGCTGACACAGCTCCGGGAGAGTTTCTGCAGCACAAGACAAAATGTAAGTTATACTGTGGTCATTAAGGTAGGTATGTTAATAAGCTGAGTCCACTGAGTCCATTGGAGTCCACTATACACTACAATGAAATTCAACTCCAAAGCTGTTGCAGTTTACATTAGAAATCTACTGAAATATAGCAGCCGGTAAACTTCCACACGAGAGATCGTCTCCTGAAATTAGCATCTGCAGATGAGTGGGCCGGTTGTATTATTTCCTGTTTTCTGTTCTGTACCCAAAATAAACTGTATTGTGTTTACGTATTTACAATCATCAGAGCCATTTAATGTAATTCAGGCCTCCTGGTATTAGATTCATGCACAATATTAACATAGTTTTGCTTTTAAGTTGTATATTTTTGTACTATACTTTTGTATTTGTAGCTGAAGGTACATATACGCTAATTTTCTTGTGTAGCCTTTAAAATAAATTTTCCTCACAAGATTAAAAAAATCAGAGATCATTGATTCTGAAGCTGGCTATATACTTATACACTGTAATTTTTTAAAAAATTAAAAAGAACCACCAAAGAAATTTTAAAAACACCAAAGAAACAAACAGAAAGGAAAAAAAAAAATTAGGTAAAAAGAAAAATACCATTATGCAAATTCAAAATTAGAGAGTTATCTATTGCTAGTATTTTAGGCCTGTCCTAATTTAGGACAGGGAGACTAATGTGGGTGGTGGGGAAGGCTGAAACTTTTTTGTTAAGCTGAAAGCCTTATCATGAGGTAAGTTGTTATAACCTATGAACAGCTTATTTAGGCCTATTGTTAGAAGGATCACAGTTGTAGTGGACAGCACAAGGACTATTAATGATTACTTAGTTCCACTTTACTTAGAAGCATCCCCATGCAGGGCTACCAGCAGCAGCCTGGATATGCCTTCACAGCTTTCCACAAGCCTTCAAAGACTTGAGTTTTTTATCTGCTCTGCTAAGTATAATCAGCTTTAAAAGAAAGTAAAACATTGTAAACTGTTCTGGTTGGACCACACAAAAGAAGAAAATAGATCTGCAGATAGATGCCTAAAATAAATGTAACAATAACTTGGCCTGAAGTAATTTTGTTGCCAAGGAAATGGGTAAACCTGGCAGTGAATATGGAGAGGTGCAGAAGCGAGAGGATGCTTTTTTCTGTATGCATACATCTGAAGAACAAAGTGAGTCAGTTGAAACTGAAGGAAAATGGAAACATGAGATCAGGTTAGGATAACCTGACCGTGACTAAAGGCTAGGCTTGAGGACAGAGGGTTCCTGTTAGCAGAACATTGCTGTTCTGGACTACCAGCAACAGTAGAAGAGATTAAAAGCCAGCTGAACCCTAGATTTATTTTTTTTTTAACAGAGCAAGAATTTGCTATATCTGTGTTGTTTCAAAGCATCTTTTCTCACTAAAGGCCAAAAAACTACAAATTTGACACTAAATACTAATTTTTAAAAATTGGAAGCATTCCTTTTTGACCAAAACATCTTGCTTGAATAAAGAGGGATTTAAGAGGAAAACTGACTGAATATTGAAGTCCAAGACAAAAAAAAAAAAAAAAATTGTATTTTATGACAGATCTTGATAATCTTTTGCAGGCTAGTAGGGTATTTATTTTCACACTATTTCTTTAATGCATTAGTAGCTTGAGTGTTTGATGTGCAGACTTGAGTGCAAATTAACATGTCCACCATCATATTAGAAACCTGAGGAATTCACGGCATCTCTTTGAACCAATGTTTACAATTTGTAAATTCACAGACCTAAATTATGGAGTGACTGAGAGCTTCTTTCTTGCATTTAGTACATTTGATGTTCTGCACTGTTCCCTTTTTGGGATAATAAATGGTCACATGTTTAGTGACTCACTGTAGTGTGGAAAGTCCATTAAATTTTGTGGAAAGTACCATTCTTCTGCATGTCCAATCTTTTCTGCATCTTTTATAAACCATTTCTCTTTTATTTTAGGATTTAGCATTTATTTTATTTTAGGGTTAGCCCTTACTGAGTAAGAACAAGCTACGTTTCCTGCTGCTACAAGTCACCAAAAATCCCTTCTTTGCCAAGAAGTTCAAATTTAATATACATTTATTTTAAGAGATGTGAAAAAGCTGTCAGGATTGCAGTTCTCAAAGAAGCATATGCAAATGGCAGGTGTAGTTTCCAGGGAGCTTTAGCCGGTTTAATTCCAAGTCCCATGTTTCTACTGGCTTGTTTGACTCAGAGTTTCAAATACCAGCATAAGTAATTTGAAATCCTGCTGGATGCATTATATTTTTTCTTTGGTTTTCTTTGTAAAAGCTGTGTCCTTGTACAGAGTGTTCCTTCATGGCAGCTGACAACTGTTGAATTCAGGTAGCTGTGGTTCATGTTTCCTGTCCATCCCCATCCTTGTGCCTGCATTCAGGTGATTGATCCAGCGTTCCAGCTGGAGGGGCTGCCTGAGCTGTCTTACTGCGCAGTCACTGGTGTCAGCAAGAGGCACAGTCTGCGTAAGTGCACTGGGAGCTGGGAAGCCATGCTGAGTTAAACTGCTGCCTAAGAGCACCACAGATGAGCCTGGAGAACTGACTGGCACTGGGAAATGTGAGCCAAGGGGAACAAGTTTGAGACAGGTGAACTGGCAGATGCTTATACAAAGGCTGCCATGAAGAAGAAGGCTTTTGCTTGCTGTGTGATTCTGCCTCATGGCCTCACAACAGAAGACAGACAAACGTCTTGGTGTTTGTGCAGCAGAATGGTATCAACAAAGCACCTTCTGAGCTTGCAACATGTGCAAACAGAAGCCCATGTGCAATATGGAAGACTATACTAGATAAGGGGGTTCCAGCTTAATGTTGGTAAACACCACTCAGGGTGGAAATGGAGCTCAGTGCAGGAGAAGGGTGGGGGGGTCTGAACTCAAAACCAGAAACTCTTGAGTTTTGAGGAAGAGCTTGCTTTTTGTTTGACCTAAGCATGTACTGACCTGATTTGTCAGCCCACTTGTTTCCCAACACAGGCCTTTTTGAAGGAAAAAGTATGTTTTTAGGGAGACAAGATAGCTGCCCAGAATAATCCTCTCCAACTTCCCACCAAGGACTGTTGCTGGAGGTACTGTATTTTTCCACATGCACAGAGATACTGCGAGACTTAAGGGCCAAAATTGCCTGTGCCTGTCTCTATTCCAGAAGATTCTGTTCTGTAACAGATTTGCAACACAAAGGATGAGAGTAAAGCACCCGTCTTACTTGTTTGCCTGGGCAGCTAAGGATTACATTCCAGGGAACAAAAAATAGAAAATAAAACAAAACAAACAAAACAGAACACACACCAAAAAAAGGGAAAAAAACCCCACACAGAACAAAAGAAGAAAACAAAAAAAAAAACCAAAAAAAAAAAAAAAAAAAAACAATTACAAAGATTTAAACATCCAGTATTAAAAAACTGATTGCATGGTCAGACCTGTGTAACATTTATGTCATTTATGTACGGTGCATATTGTTATCTCCCAGTCTTTTAACCTGTGGGCTTCAGACATTACTCATTATGTTTAAAGGCTTTGGATTTGTCTGTCATTTATGATCACTGCTTTGTAAATACTAACAGCAAGTGACTTGATAAATGGAGAATTCATTTCAGCTATTTTTGTTACTGCTGGGGGCTTGGAAATGTCCTTTACATAAACTAGAGAAACAGCAGCAGCAATAGAAATATCCAGTCTATCGCTTATTTTTCCTTTGTATTTTTTTCTGTTGACCCAAGAACTAAAATTTGTGCAATCATGTCCAAAATGCTTTGCAGCAGTGATTATGCCTTTATTCTGCTTGATGAAAAGCCTTCTGCAGAGCTTGTTCTTTAGCACCTCTCTTCTACATATTTGCCAAAAAAAAAGAGTACTTTCCATAGCCTCCTTTACTTCCCAGAATCAAAGGATTTGGGGGTTAATAATGTTTATCCATTGAAACTTTCCCCACACCTTGCAGATACCCTATAAGAACATGCAGTTAGGAACTATTTTTGTGTGAGGAAATAGCTCAAAATAACATTCCATCCCAGCTGTCTCATGCCATCTCCTGTGCATACACTTTTATTTTTGGCATAACTACACAGATGAGTTACAGTGAAATAATAAGGGTGTGACTTTACAAGGTAACTACTGCATTTCAAAACCACTGGTTTACGTGTTTTCACATACTGTTAATACCAGGAAGTGTTCTTTCTCATTCTCCCTTGAGGATAATTACTAGCCATTTTGAAAAAAAAAAAATAGTGAAGACAATACTATGAGTAGAACCTTATTTCTTTACTTGATCTTAAAACAGTGAAAACTTTTAGTGAATCTGCATTGAAATTAATTTGAGTGAAGTTATATAAAGGTACTTACATAGTAATATTTTTCTTCCAGGAATATGGGAAGTACTGGGGTAGGACAAATATCAGTACAGACTGGAGCTTTGCTTTTGAAGTCTCACCCAGGTTAGCCTAAGTGGCTTACGTTAGCCTCTCTTTGAAGAGAGAAACCCTAAGGAGGCCAAAGGTTGGTCTGCAGCTGCACACTTGTGCAGTTACCATTCATCACTTGCAAACACATTTTACAGTGTTTACCTCACACAGATAAACTAGCAGAGCCCTAAGCTTCTGGCATAGATACAATTAGGTCAGCAGACATTATAGAAAGGCAGCTTTTGAACATTTTAGTTGCATTTGTTATGATAAAATGTTGCTAATTATACAGGAAGATGGCCACTTCCAAAGGAATTTAATAAAAGCTGTAGTACTTGTATGGCTGTTTGCAGTCTACCTGTGCTGTGAGCTCAGCATTCTACATTTGGTGGGCAGATGCCAATCACTCTGCAAGTATTTGTTCCTGATCAAGTAGTCACTTTTAGTGGTGGATTAACAATTCCTTCTCCTAATGAGGATTGTAAACAAACATGGACATATTGGATTCTCGTAAAACAATGTTCACTTGTTCCAGCTCAGAAACTGGTGAGTGCTGGCAGGGTAGCAGGTGTTAGACGATGCTGCTGCAGGCTGCCTCCAGCCAATTTCCATCAAGCTTAAATGAGCATGTTGCTCAAGCCTGCAAACATTAAAAATGGCAGTACATTTTTAATGCAAAAAATAATTTGCAGGTGCACATAAATTATCAGAGCTGGTGAAGGTCATGATCTTGCCCACTTTCCCACATTCCCCATCTTGCCTGGTGCTAATGTGAGTCCACATGTGCCCATCAGCTACCCTGCATGTTTCTTTCTCTATTTCCTCTCAGATAGACCAGCTGGGTTTACCCTGTGACCAGACAGACATTCATGCTGGCATAAGCATGCTCATGGGAAGAATGAGGAGAAAAACATCCTGCTTTCCTTTTTGATCTCTAGCATCAATGAAAAAGTGAAAGGCCAGTAAAAATGTAAATACTGGGGGGAAAAAAGCTGTTTTTCTGGGCATGTACTGGTGCCTGCAGAGGTTGGCCTTGGTCACCAGTTGCTGCTTTGCTGTGGGCCAGCCCTGTGATGAGTACAGTCATGATATACTGGAAGGGCATATGGCAATATATGCAAGCATTGCCAGCTAAAAATAACTCTTCATGGCAGCTTCACTTGTGGTTTTTTTTCTGTCACCCTTCCTTTTGTGAGCTGCCACTCTTCCTTTCATGTTGCTGTACTGCTGCAGTATTCATCTCGCCTGTGCCACGATGTGCTGTGAAACAACCTGCCAGGCTGCTGCTTGGACCATGCTCCCTGCCAGCACAACACTCACAAGGCTTCGCTGATCTGGAAAATCTCTGTGTACTCAATTCTTTGTTTCACTGTTATGGGTAGGTTGCAAAAGATGCGAAGAGATCGTGGTCTGGAAAAATACACTGAATTATAGTTTGGTTGCCTAATTCAATTCATGAGTCTGATTGCTTTTATGCTTGTAAAAACTAACTGCCTTCTCAGTTCCTTTTGGCTTTGTCTGTTGCAAGTAGATCTCTCATGTTGCATAAGAAAGTCACATGGGATTTCATAAAGTTATTCTATAAGGTCACATGTAACTGTCATCTCCTTTTTGAAACAGCTTAGACTGAACATCCGAGGTAAGTGAAATACATTATGTGACAGATCACTCACATTCATTTGCTTCTTTCACAGAAGCAAACATTTGTAAGGTGTAAACACATTTTCAATCAGTCATTTCATCACTGATTTGAAAGTTTGGTCACTTCTAATGGCTTCATTCCTGACACATAGCTAATAACAGGTAATTCCAATCACTAAACCTGTAGTTGCAGCTCTGTGATCGCAACTCTGATGACTTGGAGCACATTACAGTAAGAGGTTACTGAGACCTTCATGCTAATTTCAAAATTCTTAACTAAAGTCAGATTCAAAAATCAAAGCCTGTGCACTGTATAGAGACAAGTGTAGCTGGTTGTATAATCTTGGTGTGCTGTGTGTGTGGTGTGCTGTGTGCCATTTTGTAACTGTAAAATGCAGTCGAAAATACAAAGAGCAGATGTAAAACAAAACAGGTAAACTTCAGTGATGGAGATTAAAATAGGTAGAAGAGAGATGGTCTTTGAAGTCGTAAAATACTATAGGCAAGGGTCAATATGTCCTCCAGAGCTTTATAGCTTTAGAGCTAAACCATAAAGCTTCTGTTTTCAGGACTGTGCAGTGGAGACTCCGGTACGTTACATGTTTCTTGGATGCTGACAAGCATGTCAGCAGAGAATTCACTTTTATCAGAGAATCAGTGTACTGCTCATGTAGATGTGTCTTGCTACAGGGAGAGAGAAAAGAATGCACTTTTCAGAATACTGACAGAAATTTTTGAGTTTTTATTGAAGTCCTCTAGAAGTCAATGTTCCAATCAGCTGTACCTTTACAGGGCATTTTGAGATGTCAAAACCAACCTCTTTTTCCACTCAATTTAAAAACTTTGCATTCAGCAAGTCATTTCGAAGCCATAAGAAAATTATGACCTGAGTGTGAAGTTTCTTACATTTCTGATTGGAAAGCTGGTCAAATGCCATAATTACAGTAATTTTTAGTGTTTCCTGCTCCATTGTCAGTAATAGTATGGCCTTCCCTAGGTGGTCAAAGGAGACAGGTTCCACTTCTCTGGAAACTGTTGCCTGTTCTTTAACTCCCACAGTAAGTGTAGCTGAATTACTTCTGCACTTAATGAATAGTCAAGTAAAAAGCTTTAAAGGTGTATGAAAAGTCTAAACTGTACCTGCCTTGCAATGTAACATTCAGTTTGTGCTCTTTTTCATCTATCAGAAGGGCATATGCAACCAACAGAGATTATTTATTGGTGCAAAGAATGCACCTCTGAAAAGCAGAAGTACCTCTCTCTTTAAATCCAAGATGTTTTGGTCATTTGGAAAATATGACAATGCAAAGGGGAAATGTCAGGGCAACTTTACTCATGTCCATGAGTTTAGCAATATCTTGCCATTTCTTAGGTTGGGCAGTTTCACAGACTGGATGCATAATTGATTCTATAGGATTTGTTTTTTCTGATTCTGCAAATATGGTCTTCCAGACAAGACTACAGGAAATACAGTAAAAGCCTCAGGTGGCAGCAATAGCACAGGAGATTCAGTCTTCTTGTAAAGAACAAGAAAGTAACAAAATTATTCCATGTAATGTGTGCATTTCAAGTTTCCTCTCTATACTGTGTAAGAAAATTATTGAAAGATGTGAAAGCAAACAGTAAGTCAGAAAAGCTCTCTTTTAAAGCAGCATTCATGCAGCACTATTGTCCTGGATTTATACATCAAACTCTAGACTAGTATTAAATAGTGTATCTGAATATCTGCCGTGCTACTCTAGGACTAGGTTGTAGTTAGATACATGTCACAGTAAAATGTGAGGGGGGCAGTTATGGAAACAAAAATTCATCAATTATGGAAACAAAAGTTCATCCTGTGTAGTAAAAGAGAAGACAGTAGTATATGACATGGAAAGAAAGCTGCATTAATGTTACACATATTTCCAGCAGAAAGAGATTTGAACAAAACTGTGCCTTAGACAGCAAAGTGTACAGCACAGGAGATAATGTTTACCTCTGTGCTAGCAAGGGTGCAGTAAGGGGATTGATTCAGGGTGCTTCCTGGTCCTGGACAGGACCTTTCTTTGATGCTTCCAACTCAAAGGGCAGATCAGTTCTCTTGTTTTGCATCTAACAGTGCAGATGTCCCAAATCTGGTGCTATTAGGTACTGTTTCTTGTCTGTGTCTTACATTCCATGACATACTGCATCTATCTCAGCCATACTGATTTTTATTCTAATGGTTAAGCCTGAATTGTTAAATGGATGCAAATAAACAACTAGGATAATTTTTAGACTAAATGTTAGCAATGGTGCATAATACCATTACTAACATTTACAGTTACTTCTGCATCTTGGGTTCTAGGACTCTGTTTTTGCTTTGGTTCTGATTGTTGTGCTTACTCTTGCATATATTTGCTAATCCTTCATAATGCCAGCAATATCCTTCATGGTATCAGACATTTAAAGAAGTTAAAATTGAAGTTCATGGATTTGTAACCCCTACAAAGAAATGTTTTACATCATAGAAAATACTGTCAGGCAAAACATACTCTTTCTTCCAGCAGCTATGAAATCAGAGGAAATAAAAATAAACTGCTTTATTAATTCTGGGAATCTTATTATTTTGCTGATCAGACTGTTTCCTTCTTAATACCCTGATTTTAATGCTTTGCCACACCCTGATCAAATTCTTTTCCTTAAATTGGACTGATTTTTTTACCCCAAGAAATTTTACATTCTAGCAAAAATTTTGACCAGTGCTAAATAACCCAAATGTGTAGTGCCATGAGTGGCCTTGCACAGTAAATTGTTGTGTGAGTGTCGATATATTTGTGTTACTTCACCATCTGCTTGATAGATAATGTAGTAGGCAAGATCAATTCCTAATATAATTATGTCAGTAGAAACCTTGATGTAATGTTGATATAATGGCCCTGCAATGTAATTCCTAGGGCAAGGACATGGCATCTATTATCTTTCATCTATTATCTTTGCATCTGTCGTTAACATCACTTCAGCCAGTCTACAAAACCCTCTCGCTTTGCAACAAGTCACAACAGGGATTTTCCTAAAAGAATGATGATTTGTCCCTGACACTGTCCTGCTAAGGACAGCAAGCTGTGCAGGGGCTAAATAGCTTGATGGGTTGTGCTTATGCACCTAAATAGGCTGTCCCTATGTGGACATCAAATGTAGTAGTGATTTTACTGTAGATTATTTTAGTCATGAGGCTGCATTGGAGGGATGGGGAAGAGAAAAGGAAAGTGTATTATACAGTACTGTAGATGCCAGCCCAGCAAAATCATTAAAAATATCATAAGGACAAAGGAGACAGGGAATGCATCACTATTATAAGGTAGTTCACTACTTAAGAAACACCCTGGGCATGTGTTTGAATTTTATAGCATTGTCTGGTAAGACAGAGCATGGTCAGTCATGGTGTTGGACAGACACTTCAGGAATGAGCCTATTCTCTGGAGAATCAGAGCCAGCTTTGATATCAGTGGGAGCAGTGAATCCCAAAGGATCTGCTAGCATAATTTTCTTTCCAAGACCAAGACCTGATAGTTAGGTCATGGGTTGGACTTGATTGTTACTACAGGGTGACACTTGATGATCTCAAAGTTCTTTTCCAACCTGATGATTCTTTGACTTCCGTGATAAAAAGTAAATGAAATTTGTGGTGGTTGGACTAGATGATCTCTGAAGGTCCATTACAGCCCTAATTATTCTGTGATTCTGTGAATTAGAAGGCTGGAAACTTAAAATGCTGCAAAATTGTGGGGAAAATGACACAAGGTTTTTAACAAGCTGGATCCAAGGACAAAGGAGACTCAGAGAAGCTATCAATTTTCTTGAATATTGCTGAAGTTTTTAACAAACAGGATGAGAAGGCAATATTGATGTATGATCTGAAGCACAGAGGAATTTAAAGTTCCATGCTGCAACACTGAAGCCCACAGACTATATAAGAACACCTGTGAGATAATATGAAAAGATGGCTCAATGGACTTCCTACTGAGAATGGTAAAAAAAAAATCAGCATTCACTTCAGTGAAGAGTGGGAAATAGGCTGGAAGGAATTTATCTCATGCAGGTTCAGGCCAGCTAAGGTGACATCCTCATGAAAAGAAAAAACAAAACTACAAAAGCAGCAGAAATATGTCTATTCAATGCTAAAAGAAAAGCCACTTAACAGCCAAACAACAGAAATACTGCAATTAATGTGGGGTTTGGCTGCACTGTATTACACAAAGGTGCACATTTCAGAATTTTCTGTAGCTTGAGCTGCATCTGGCACTGATTTTTCTGTTGTTTATCTGTGTGATCATGTACAGCAGAGGTCTTTATTATGGTGCTGCCACCTAAAATTATGAAGCAGAAAAAAAGTAGCAGTGTGTGTCAATTTTGTATGTCCTTCTCAGTTGTAAAATTATGAAAACAGCCTCTATGTGAAAGTGTGTGCTGATATGAGCAAAGGTGATGAATTCATAGGTAGCTTGTAAAGGTTTATCCTCAGATTACCTTGATTTGCACACAGCTTGTTTACTACATCGCAATAGAAATTTTGTTGTGTGATGCATGCACTGCAAAGCCGAAAAGTGCATGAATGAGCAGTGATATTACTGGGGAAATGTATTTACACAACTTTCAGGTGCTCAGCATGTGCATTACGCTGCTTTATGTAGAGGTAGGAAATTGTTAAAACTTTTAATGGCGAGCAGCTAACTGTAAAATTATCTGGTTTGTATCAGTCTACAGACCCCCAGATTTGTCCTGTGCCCATAGCACATTTGTAAAGAGATTGCAAGAAGCAACAATGGGAGCTGCACATGAGCCTGAACAGACATGACAGGCAGGTTATGCGGCTGCCTGCTGCTGCACCTATCAAAAATGCTCTGGAAGGTAGGTTTGTAAAAACTTAGATCTTAATAAGGGCACCTGTAAATAAATTTAGTGTCCAAAGCATTTTAGGCCAAGGGCTCACATATTTCATATTGGTAATAAAAGAGAAGTGACACAGGGACACCCTTCCATCTCTGCTCAGTTAATTTAGTCCTCTCTCTTGGGAGAGGCTCTTAGGGGGCCTTTGGCCAAATATTTGCAATAAACAAGCAATGAAATAATATCTTAGAGGGCACTAGTGAGCTTCTCAAAACACTCCATTGGCAAGTGCCCAGATATATTGAGGGGTAAAGTGTTCCACCAATATTGATGTACTTCTGAATCCATCAATTTCACACACCAAATCAGACATCACTTTTCCAATTTACATAAAAGATTATTATGTTTTTACTTTTCATATATATATATGTTACTTCATATATATATTTTGCTTTTCATATATATAATATCTATAAAAGGGTTTGGAAAATTTCCAGATCCATCTCCCAATTCTTGTAATCAGTGAATAAAACATACACTTTGCCAAAATTAGACAACTTGTCTTAGGAAGAAGGAAGCTATTTGTAGATATTTTTCTTATTAGACTTCTCCAAATGTGATAAAACTGACAGCTGATACATTTAGTTAATGATTTGCATTGGACTTTACTTTTCATTCTCCTTCCTGTTGTCGGACCAGTATATAAAATTGTGCAGCAAATCTACTATTTTTTCCTTCTTTTATGAAACTTTAAATTTCTTCAAATTCAAGTATTTTATTTAGTATAATATTATGCAATGTGGCCTTGTAACAATTACCATTACCCAAATTTAAAATGCTTTTATGGTCCTTGTGAAATAGAACTTCTTAAAAAAGAATGCTGTGATAGCATTGAAATTAGAGGCCTATAAATTAAAAGTCAGAACCAAAACAAGTTTAGAATTAACATGGAAGTCACAGATAATGAAACATGAACAATTCATTTGTTGGGGTTTTTTTCCCCCCAATAAATACTTATATCCTTTGTTAAAAAGTTATTGGGGGTTGTAATGCTTTTGGTTTGAGCCCTGCTTTTCCTTACAGTTTTGTAAGTTATTGAAGATGACAGTTTTAAAACTGCACAAGCAGTACAGAAACAAACACATAATACTCACTGGAACTTTCCTGAGACCAGTTATTTTTATTTAGATGTACACCAATCATTCAATGGAAAATTACATTTGTCACAGTAAATTTTATCTATGGTAAAATCCAAATTGTTGATTTTAACAGTTTTCATATTTTATTTTGTATCTTCTGTTGCTTATTATATAGCACATTAAAATAATTAAATATTGATTTTTCAAGTAGTCACTTGGTGTTAATGCAAAAACTGTAAGGTTGCATCTTAAGAAAGAATCCATTTTATGTTAGATATTATTTCTTATGTAATATGAAAGCACTGTGAATTCTTAGAATGATCAAAATCTTGTAACCCAAAGGTCCATGTGTTATTGTTTGAATTATCTAGCAATGACATAATTAAACATTCGTATCTCTTCATATTTCAAGTAAACATTGCTGATTGCTATGCCTGTTGAAAATGTGCCAAATAGCATGCATTGGTGATGATTCACAGTCTCTTTCTCTTACATAAAAAACCACAAAGATGGATGTACACATTTGCACACATAGATTTGCAATGAGGTAAACAGGACTGGTCAATGTTCACGTGGACCTCAAGAGCAGGAAACTATTTCCTAGATTTAACTGCCACTTTTAGGCTTTCTAGTGCTGGTTGTTTATTTATTTACCTGTTTAATTATTTTCCTCTGGACTAGTATATTTAAACTCAGGGTCTAATTATAGATTATATAAGATTGCTCTCAATTTTATTTCTCTCTCTTCCTGGGGCAAGACTGGAGCTTTCTATGCTTATTAGAAAGAAGAGTAAGCTGCAAATGCAAACCAGAATACATACAATGTCTCTATTTTACCATGTGACTGTATTTGCTACCTCTTTTCTCTGCGCAGTCCCCCAGAAAAAATAGAGATGAAATACTTGATACTAAGTACAAGCAACTATTCCTTGTAGACATTAGATTAATTAGAGCATTATTGTTCATTTAGCAGCATTACACAATGCTCAGAGAGTCACAGTGGTCTTTGCAATGGAAATTCTGCAGTTAACATATAGAAGAAAACACTGGAATTGCAGAAGATAAATGTATTTCTCCCAAAATGTCTTTAAGGACAGTGTCTTTACAACACAGCTGACAGTCTACTCCAAGACGATACAATTTTTTACATGTGAGCTACCTGTATTTACAGAAGAAAGCTTTGCACAGCTGTTTTTCATTTGCCCTACTGGTATTTTAATACTTGTGTGGTTCAAGCAGATTTTGTGGTTTTAAATCACTGCTGAAAACTTGTCAGAATAAACTGCTTACAAAGCCATATACCGATTTCCAGAAGAAAGACTGAAACAGGCCAGTCTGGAGTCTCTATTTGCAAAATTATTTAGTGAATCAAAGCAGCTTCTTGATCGCTATTGTTGTGGCATTTCTGTCATATTTCCTCTTACGTTTGGTTCCTCTCAGGTGTATGCTTCTGGTACAACTGGATCCCTTCTGTTCACACATGCAGGAAAAAAATCCTATTACTTGTTCCATGGGGTTAGAAAAACACTGTAGAAAAAAAAAGCACCTTCTAGGTTTTATATATGTCCTGCCTCACAGTATTCCCCATTGCTTAATCAAGTCTTCCAGGGCTATTGCAATACAAGAAATAAACAATAATAACCAAGGCATTCTAGTACTTTGGGGTGCTGAGCATCCTTAACTTCCACTAGAAACTCGATGAATGTGACAGGATAAAGGCCTAAAGCTTTAAAAAGCTCCTGGTCAGACAGAGATTAAAACAGGCAGGCAGTAGCAAAGTGGTAAATATTGACTCAGCAGTAAATAAAATCAGTACATTGAGGTGGAGTGTACAATATGTGGTGGAAGAAGAGTCACGAGAAAGCAATATCGCTCTTGGGCAGATTAAACAGTGTACACCACAAACCCACATGCTGTTTCAGGAAAGTCATAGTGTTCATAAAACACAGTGACACTTTACACTCTTAACAATCTTTAAACAAGGAAATTGCATTTGTTTTTTTTTTTTTTTTTTTTTTTTAATCTGGTAAAAAATTATTTTCTTTAGTTGCAAAACAGATGAAGTCTGGTCCTAATGAACTGCCACTCTTTAATATGTTTTAAAATGTGCATGTGTAAATTTTATTTTCTGTCCACAACTATGTTAAAAAATCTTATGACTTTTTGTTTATAAAAACCAAAAATGTTTATAAATGTTTATAAAATGGAAGATGCTTCAAGACCATTCCTATAAAAACACAAACACTCTATTACCCTGTAAAGAAAAGTAGATGGCATAAAAGTGTTCAAGTGATGAGAAAGATAGCAATTTTAATAGCTTTTGTCAAGCCTTGTTAGGTGTGTGGTTTGTTCCACTCAAAATCAGTCACTGGAACACCATTTTCTACTCAGCCTATAACAGTCAACAGAGAATCTATCATCAGGCTGAAACATTCTGTTTGTCTCAGCACCATTGTTAAATTTTATGTTTCTACAGCATTATGAATATGCCATTTAATGTTGGAATGAATGTGCATTAACACACAGATGAACACTCCTTCATTTGATTTCTCTTCCCTGCCTGTGGAATAAAAACAGTATAAAGAAGGTAATATTAATCTTGTGAATGCAAGTATGCCTGACAGTTCAGAAACCCTGCATTTGTACATATGACTGTGAACTATATTCATGAAAAGTAGCAATCAGAAAAAGAAACAACTTTTGACTTGCATACCATGAAAACTGCTGGCAAAGAACAAAATACAGGGCTACCTTACAAAATGTCTGTGAGATAAGGAGTGTATGCATTTAAGGATAAAATTGCTAGTTCCACTGCAACTGGAAAGAACAATGGGCTTTTGTGGTTTTCTTTCCCAATACTTAAATGGCCATCTGCTTAAGTCTATGTACAGGTATAAGGAAAAACGAGTCTTCTGTCAAAAGCTCAATCATCCTCATAAGAGGTTAAAACCTAGCCATTAACAACCTTAAAGAGGTAACAAGTTGAAATAATAGCATAAAATCACTTTTTTTTTCCCCCAGGCTAGCCCTTAAGTGTCTCAAGCCATTTTAAAGGCCTAAATATGAATGTCTGTATGCAATAGACTTATGGGGAGATATGCTGATAGTGAATTTGGAAACATACGTATCCAAGCTCTTGATATAAACATGAAAGGAAAAGTAAAGTGATTGCATTATACTTCAGGTAAGATTCTTAGGGACACATATAAAGGGTGTCACCCTTTTAAGCTTGATATGGAAACCATATGCCATCTGAAATACCCCAGAGAGTTCAAAATTTATAAAAGAATATTCTTTATTGGAATAGACTGGCAGTATGACAATTAATTATGTGAATATGGAGTCTACATTTTTATTTACATATAATTTGACATTTCAGAGTAAACAAAAAAAATAGTATTTGTTATTATGCTTAACATGAAAATCAGAGTTTATAAAAAAGAAACAGACTTACTGAACAATTCAGAATTTACATAAAAAGGACAAATAGTTTCCGGTAGATAATACTGCATAATGACTATTTCAACAGCTGTTCATATGAATTTCAAGTAACAGGCTATACATCAGCAGCCTAATCAGTGTTCAGTGCCAGCAAGTGAGCTGTCAGCAGAACTTCTCCAAGGCCAGATGGAGCTTTCCAGATTTACACAAAGAACTGACCCAACCAGACTCATCTTTGCAGTGGTGGAGAAAGCCAGGCTCAATCATTTCCAGGATACTGACTACTGCACCACGGCACAAAAAGTACCCTGTTCACGTAAGACAGATAACGTGAAAACTGACTGATGCATCTGGAAATCATCACTATTTAGCATTTGCAGTAGGGCAGGACTTCTACATGCCAAACAAGATCACTCTCAACCATGCATTGTGTAATCCACCAGTGGATATTTTGCACAGCACCTCCATGCCAGAGCAGCCCTCCTGGCCTTCCCAGCTCTGCTGTGGTGCAGATCTGTATCCTGAGAGCAGCCTGCTGGAAAGTGATGGGTGGACCTGTCAGGGCTCCCCACTACTCTCACTCAAGAGATAAAGTCCAGCTCAACATCCTCAGCTGTCAGGGATCACAGAATATTTTATAAATTCATGGGGAAGGAGAGGATAGTTAATGTACTATCCACCAGTCCTTTCCTGACTTTTTTCAAAAGTAGTTTTAATCTCAGTTATGTGAAATGAATGTAAAACTCTGTATATGAATGGAAATTTTAAAAGTCTGTTAATTGTTAACTGTTAATTTGCAAGCCTGAGGGATCTAGTAATTGTTGATTTTTACTTTAGAATCAACTAGTTATGATACTCTCTGCTGAAACCAAAGAATCACCAAAAGCCAAAGAAAACCTGAATTTAATAAATGAAAATATCTTTACTCATATCTTGTAAAAAAGGATACCAGTCACTATATATCTCCCTCACCAAGTAAAAGGTCATATCAGATCACTGAAGTGAAAGGCAATGTACTGCACTGTACAGGAGATGTGACAGCAACATTAGCTGTTACAAAACATTTTTCACCAAATGAAAATTATATTAAAAAAAAAAAAACAAACAACCAAATATCACTCTAAGCATCAAATATCACTCTAAGGCTACAAATAATGAAACTTGGGGTACTGAAGACATGAATAAAGCAAGCTATTTGGAGAGAAAAGTTTCATAAAGTGGTCTTCTGTTTAGAATCTCACTACTAAATGCCAATACGTATGTATTTATGCATTTCACATTTTCCAAGATTCTATGGTATGTTTTTACTGTTTTACACTTTTAGAAGTCACAAAAGCTCAAGAGGAGAATCAAGTAGTTCTTCAAGTGATTGCCAGTGTGAACACAAAGGGAGAACACCTTATCCTGAGGAGATCAGTAAGGGCTCTTCAGTCTTAACCTCACTAAGGTCCACTTTTGCCTTGTGTATTCACAAACCAAAGGAACCCTGCAGAAAGACCAACGGCAGCAAAGACAAGGTCAAACAGTGTATGAGGTGGCACAGCTATTCCTGGCTGCAGTCATTGGTTTTTTCACATGAAAGGTAAAATATAAACGTAAAATGTATCTTACCTTTCTGTAGCTAATTATTAAGAAATACAGGAAGAATACAACATTTTCTAGTACCACAGACAAACTCTAAACTTGCCACTTAAAATGCCAGCTTCTTTCAAGCTGCCTGTATATCATTGACATAAGTGGCCTCACCACTGTTAATGAGTGACTCATGGATGTTTCTTGTACAGAAAGAACACAAAGTATGTCATTGTAATTCTGCAAGTGAAATAATTTACATATATATATCAATTTTGTACTTCATTACACTGAAGAATATCGTTAATATGGATTTGCTGTGCAGATGTGCAATTTTTAATTTAGAAGAGACTCGTGGGAGTATGATTTAAAATTCTCATTTAGACTTTCCTTGGATACTGTCAGGAAAATATATGCAGGATTTACTAATGAGAAGTGTGTATGCATATACTTTATGGAGCATTTAAGGGCCTCATTGTTATTGAAAAAGTAATACTTTTCTCAATAATCAAAAAGCAGTAAATTGTTCACTTCCAAGCCCTTTTGTACATGCACAAATGCTGCAGTTCTGTCAGGTTTTCAGAACAGCCATGGCCACTGTGTGTTAAAATACTGGGAAACTAGACCTTCCTGATCTTCTAATACAGATACCATTTCATACTGTTCCCTTTAAAGAAACAAAGTCAAGGACTGAGTGAGCATACTCATTAGCAATTGTGAATGACAGGAGTCATCAGATTGTGAGAAGAACTTCAGTTCCTGAAAGATTCAAATGAAGAAGATTTACTGAGGTAAGGGGGGGAACAATGAAAAGGAGTTTATAACGGTACTTTATAATACTGTAAGTTAAACTCAATGCCTATTCTTTTTTTTTTTTTAGTTCTTCTGAGTGAAAGGAAAACCCAAGATCTTTTTAATAGAAGAAAACATGTTTATTTAGAAGGTGTGGAAATATGCAAAATGAACAAAAAATATGTGAAAAAAAATGTTGTAACTGTTAGCTTTCTGAGCTTTTTTTTTACCTTCGAGAAACCATTGAGTTTTAAAATTCTGAGATAAACCAACTTATGTGCTTTTGTCAACAAGACAATGTACAAATACACTTTTAATTGTATTAAACAATTTAAAGCTATTCTTTTTAAATGCCAGTGTTCTACAATGCATTCACTTTGACATTATAATAAAATATACAGTAGATAATTTGTCTGCAGCTGAATTCACAGATGTTGCAGAAGTGAGGAGGGGCATCAATCAAACTGCAGGACACATGGCTGGTGGCTGTCCTTGCCATTCCCCAGGCTAAGAAGTGGAAGAAGCACAGCAGCCGTGTCAGGGATCAGCAGCGAGGTGAGGTGTGAAAGTCCTGCACTACTGCACGTTGCCAACAGCAAATGTCAGAGGAGGAAGGTAGTGCCCTATTCCTGTGGGGATGGGAGCCCTGATGTGGATTTATATATCTGACAGGTCATTACATAGGCTCTCACTCTATCCACAGTGGAGAGAACACAAGTTAATGTCCTTCTATAAAGTAAGCCAAACATACTAATCTGAGTAGTGACAATGGTCAAATTCACTTAGAAAGGAAATGAGAAGTTCTGTATTTTCTTAGCATATCAGTGTGTTAGGATGTTGCAGTTATGTCTTACTATGTTGTAAATAGATGTAGATTAAAAAGCAGTTATCAACTGCAGAGTAAAACTCTTCCTTTCATCATTTTCGTTGGCCTGAGTTTCCCCTCCTTCCTGATTTCTTCACCTTCCCCAGAAAAGGGTCTGGGATTGCTGTCTACTGTTAGCCTGCTCTTTCTTATATTATACTGCAAATCCTATGAACTTTACACCTGTGAATTCAATAATACTTGAAGAACCAATATAGATCTGCAGTACCTCTGACCTCTTCTGTCCAGTGTATTCCAGATCAGTCCTTGTGGAAAGAAGTCCCAGCTGGCTGCAAGCAAAGTCAGAGCAGTTCACAGTGTGAGGTCAGAAGTAGCTGGTTGTGCTGAAAATTGCAGATGAGAGTCTCCTACTGTTTTCAGTGATAATTCTCTTACCTAGAACCCAATGAACAGAATTTTTGTTACCTTAAAAATTCACTAAGGTTGATTTTTGAGATTTTGCAGCTGGCAGAAGAATTAAGATCATTTATCTGTGATCAGCAATCCTTGCAATAGTAAGATCCTACTCATTGACAGGATACTTTTATAAGCTTTTTGATCTTTTGTGAAAGAAAAATGATTAGGGTTACAGGAGTTTATAGCTTTCCTTGGAGGAACATCTGCATACACAGATTGCCAAACCTGATAATTTTTTCTCATATCAGAAGACTTTAAAAATAAGATGTCTTTTTTAATATGCATGAATTATCATCAGCAAATTGTGTTCCATTTTTTCTTGGACGAGCTGGTGGGCAGAAAGAGGATCTAATATTTGATACAGGGATAATGTAAGAATGAAAATTGATGTGGGACCTGTAATTTACAAGAGAAAACACTTGTAATGCTGAAGTTCCCTATGAGAATTTGATGGAAGACTAAAAACTAGTTACAGTGGAAAGAAATACTACAAAGTTCTTTAAGTGCAGCAGAGAGAATGGCCACGCCGCCTCACAGCTGGGAGACACCTCAGCTTGGCGTAGCTTTGGTGCCGAGGAGCTGCTGAAATGGCGAGGTGTCCTGGTGGGACGGGCGCGCAGGGCCGGAGGGCACACTGCCCGCTCTCTGGGGCCCGAGCGGCCCGCACCCACCGCGCTCCTGGGCTGCCAGCCGGCTCCCATGTCCCCTCATTTCATCCGGGCGGTGACAAGCCCCGCTGCATACAGCCACTCTGAGGTGCAAGCAAAAACGTTTTGTTTCCCTGACCTCGGGGACCCAAGACTCCTGTTACCACGTGCTTCCTCTTGTCATTGCCCGGTGGGAGGGCTGCGGCTGAGCCCCTGCCCTTGTGGAAGGGGCTGGCAGAGGATGCGCTCGGGGTCAGCGCTGTCGGCCCGGGCAGGCGGGAGGCGCAGCAGCTCGGCAGGTTTCGAGTCCGCTCCGTCACCACCGCCTAGCTCCGGCGCGGCGGCGGCGTTTTCCAGCGCTGTTTTGACAGCACAGTCGGGTTATTTTAACAGGAAAGTCGAGTTCCCCACGGGGCGGACGGAGTCCTCATCCCGCCCCAGGGACGGCGGCCGGGCCGAGCATGCGCAGCGCCCGCTCCGCCCCCGGGAAGCGCCGCCTCCGCCGCCGCCGGGCGCGGGGGGACGAGCGGCGGTGGCCGAGCGGCCGCGCCCTCCATCATGAACCTGCACCAGGTGCTGACGGGTGCCGTGAACCCCGGGGACAGCTGCTTCTCCGTGGGCAGCCTGCACGACCAGCCCTTCACGGTGAGCGTCTCCCGCCGCGGCCGCGGCGCCTCCGCAGGGCCCGGCGCCGAAAGCGGCTGCGTCAGGCGCGGCGGCCCCGGGCGGCCCGGGCCCGGGCGGGCGCGGAGCCGGCGGGGCGGCGGGCACATGCCGGCAGAGGCGGTCCGGGGCCGCGGAGATGTGGTGGCGGTGATAAAAGATTACATAAACGGCAGCCGGGACGTGCGGCTCGCTCTGGAAGGGAGTTCCAGCGCTGCCTTGCAGTCAGGAAGGTGGCTGAAATCCTCTCCTGCGCATAGCTGAGGAAGACCTGGAATACCCAGCCCTAGTGTTGCTGAGGTTTTCAAAGCCTGTTTGAAGCCCCTGTCTCTTAGAGTGGAGAGAAAACACTTCAGTACGTTGTAAAGGCCAAAGTCTTTATTAGCGTGCGTTTTCCTTCTTTTTGTTTTGTAAACACACTTCTGTTGTGTTCTTCTTCCCATCCTCCCTCCGCCTAGGGCTGAAGAGGAATGAAATCAGATGCAGCAAAGTTTCTCAGGGCACCACGCTGGGGTATTTTTAACCTTACCTTTTATGGCTGCCCCCAGCTTCAGCCTGGTGTGCTCTCCAGTTTGATAAGGGTATGATAGGCGGAAATGCAGGAATGAATTCTTGTTGTTTGCTGTCCTGTCTGATGTACGCAGTTAAATTCATCTAGCTACTTGCGGCTTCACCTGTGGCAGTGGAGCAGAGGTGCTTCCCCAGGGTTAGGCTGGCTCTCTGGAGTCTCTGCAGCGTTGTCCGGCCATGTCCTTGCTTCCTAAAAATAAGTTCATGTTGGGAGATATCTTAAACTACAGCGGTTGAGACTTCAGATACCAAATTGTGCCAGACTCTCTAATTTTACATATCCAGAAATGTCAAAAACCCACCTGTGGTGGGAAGCCGTTTAATAAGAGACAAGGTGGTCTGCTTTACAGAGGAATGCTAGTAAGCTTTCAAAATATGTTGCTATAAGTTTGCCATTTTGATGTCATTCTTTTTTGAGGGAAACAATTTGAGTCATTCGTGTCACTAGACTCACTTTCTACCTGTTATAGCCAAACTTACGTAAAGTTTTGGAGGTCCCCAGTGAATAGTGACTAGGAATCTCTTCTTGAGGAGAATGGAATGATTGGGAAGTGTAATTTTTGATATTCATTACTGTGGTCTCTCTTTTGTTTTCATAGACGTATATTGTAACAATGTTTCCTGGACATAAATGTAAAAACAATATTTCCTATAGCTGCATTCATCTTCCTTTCATTATCCTTTTCCATGAAAGGTTATTAATGGATTTTTTCCCTCATATTTAAAATGGCTAACAGAAATATCCTTGACTGCTTCAGGGCTGTTTTTGTTGTTGTTACTGATTCTGTAATGCTGTGTTAAGTTAACGAGATTGCTTAGAAGGATTAAGAAGTTAAAGGTGCTGAAGCTAATTTCTGCTTTTTTTGAAAGGGATGATGGACTCAAGCTTTAGAAAATCCAATGGGAAAAAATTGAACATAGTTTTCACCTGTCTGAAATTATGATATAAGCATTAATTAGTATAAATACGATTGAATTGTATTTTAGAAAGGGAAAAAAAAAAACCACCAAACATGTCAGACTTCTATGCTTCCAGTTATTGTGGCTGAGAATATAGGAGTTGATATTTCAAGGTTATGTACTGTACAGGAGGGACAAGTTGTCCTTGTCCAACAGGAGAACTTGGTCTGTAATTTTTTTTTCAGATACAGTATGCTTCAGGATATTTTCTCATAGACAGCACTGAATATTCAAAGTGAAGTATTTTAAAATATTAAAGTTCTAAGCTAAAAATATCAAGATTCTTCTCTTAAAAGCTGAAAATTTTGAAGGAAAATTAGTATAAAACTTCCTATATCCACCAAATCATATGCACCTTTTTGAGTGTGTGCTGTTATGTTTTAAGGAGGTATTTCACGTATCTAATGGGAGGCAGGTTTGTTGTTCTGACTTTTTTTTTAAATTTTAGGATGTGAAGTGTAGAGTGGAGCATGAGCTTCCTTGGGGAGAACACTGATAAAGTTTTTAGCTCATCTTTTATTTATGTGTTGAAAAAGGGTCATAAGTATCAAGATACCATAAGAAGCATGCCTGTTGTTTCTCTGCTGAGGGCAGGTGATAGTTATGTGTGGCACACTAAATCAGTGAGAACCTGGCCCTCAGCTGTCAGAAGTTACCTGTTTATTCTTTATGTCCTTCTCCGGATACTGAATTATTTTATTTTCCATGTACTTGTCCACTTTACTTTCTTTTGTTCATGTCAGGTCTGAAATATTTTACTTGAGTAAAAGTTTAAAAGCTCCTGGAGTTTATCACATAGGATTCCTCTGAACTGGTTATTACTGAAGCTCTATTTAAGTTATATAAGTTAAGTGGGTAATCAGCAGTGATGCAATGTTTTTGCTTATTCTGATTCTGTTTTTTTTTTTTTTTAGTCATTAAAAAGCAGGAAAAGTAGCAAAAATATTTTGGAGGGGGGAAGTCTCTGTGAGCAATAGCAACTTTACAAGTGTAAGCTCCAAGACTGACAATGAAAATCACAAAAGAGTTATTGTTTGTAGGCGTAAAAATATGTGAAAGAAAGATTAATTACACAGATTATTTCAATGGAACCAAAATATTTCCTTGACAGATTTCATCTGTGTGTGATTAAACTAATTTTGGACTTGAGACTTGCTATGTACAATTGATAGATCCAGGAGCTAAATATCTGAAGTTGAAAGGCACTTGGAAAATTGGGGTAGGGGCGAGGTTCCATAGCTTGGTCAAGACCACACTGAGTTTTCTAAAGGCACTTGGTTGCAATAGAAAAAGGCTTCCCATTCTGCAAAGTTTTTTTGGTAAATAAAAGGAATTTTTGTGACTCAGTGGTATTGTTACTTACCTGTCTAGAAAATACTTAATATTTGCACTTAGAACTCCCTGGATATATGTATTCCAGAAAATTGAGATATTGTAAGAGTCAGTCAAGAAATTACACTGTTTACACCTCACCTGCTTCTTGGTTGGTGTTTACTAAAGGGAAGGGATTTAGTAGGGAACCTTTTAAAGAGTTCCTTTTTTTTTTTTAAATAATACTTGAGTTAAGCTGTTCTAGACTTCAGAAATGAATTGTGTCTTAACTGAATTAATTTAAAAAAATTCTTTACACATTAATGAAAAGTGCAGTTTCATGATTTGAAGTGCAGTGAAGCACGATTCAAAGGGCATGGCCAATCAATTGGGTATTTATATACACTATAATACAGTTGGAGTATAGTAGTTCAAGTACTTTTGATAAATAAAAACGGTGCATTTTT